AAACCTTGTTAAATCACATTCTATTGTTTTCTGCCCATTTGTCCAATCTGTCCAGGTCTGCCTGTAGTTTTTCCCTGCCCTCCAGTGTGTCCAGTTCTCCCCACAGTTTTGTATCATCCACAAACTTGGACAGAGTGCACTTCACTCTCTCATCCAAGTCACTAATGAAGACATTGAAGAGTTTCGGTCCAAGGACCAAGCCCTGTGGGACCCCATTGCCCACGCCCTTCCAGGTTGATACTGACCTGTCCATCATCACTCTCTGGGTACGACCCTCTAGCCGATTTTCCACCCACCGGGCTGTGTAATCATCCAGGTCACAGCCTCTTAATTTGTTCACCAGTATGGGGTGGGATACCGTATCGAAGGCCTTCCTGAAGTCTAAGTAAACAATATCTACCCCTATTCCTGCGTCCTGGTACTTTGTAACCTGGTCATAAAAAGAGACTAGATTAGTCAGGCATGATCTACCTGCTACGAACCTGTGCTGGTTTCCCCTCGGCGTAATTTTTCCTGCTGGGCTCTCACCTATATGAGCCTTAATAATCTTTTCAAAGACTTTACCAAGGATAGAGGTGAGACTGACTGGCCTGTAGTTGCCTGGATCCTCCTTCCTCCCCTTCTTGAAAATAGGAACCACATTGGTCCTTTTCCAGTCCTCCAGGACCTGGCCCGTGCGCATGTCATGTATTAGCGTCCCCACACTTGGAAATGGCACTGGGGGTGCTTGAATTAAAGGTTGTTCAATGAACTTTAGTGCAAGCACCCCCACCACCATTTTTAAGAGCAGGGACCCTGATACACAAGATGCAGGAGGCTGCTGGAGTGCGGCAGTTGCTCCAAAGCTCTGGAATTCCAACACAGTGGGAGCAGCCTCAGTGCTCATGTCGGCACCCTAAGGGCCAAGTTCCAGATACAAACTAAGTCAGGAATTTCCCAGAGAGTACCTAGTCAGAATGCAGGTGTTTGAATTTGAAAAAGCAAGCCAAATTAGTTCTGTTCCACAGTTATGGCAGTGGCACCATTTTAGACTGCAGAGCTTCTACTTGACCTTCTCGGCATGCTCATAGGTATCTGGGGCTGGGGGCACCTGAATATTGGAGCTTGGGGCACTTGAATTTCTAGTTTCCATTCCTATATACATTTCTGTTTTTTTTAACCAATAACTATCTGATTTTAGTTATGTACAGTACTGGAAGTGGGAACCAGCACCCAGCATACCCAGCGTGCCCAAGGGAGTGTCATAACCATTAGGCTGTAGAATCAGGCTCCTTTTCATGTGTTCTCTTTCTGGGACTATGACTCTTACATTCTTGGCTGCCCATTGACACAGTTTCATACTTTCATACTTTCATAGTTTCTAGGGTCGGAAGGGACCTG